TTTTCTTGAAAAGTGTATTCAGGCGAGTAAATTTCATTTAATATTAGCGGGAATTGAATAACTGTACTTTCTTGTTGATACCACTTAAAAAAAAGAAGTGGCCAGCTAGGCATTGCATTAGAAATTTTTCGTGATTTTATATGACGATTAAATATGGTTTCAAGTTTTTGCATATTCATCCAGTCATTTGGTGTACATGTTGGCGATTCATCTTTTAACATCTTTATGTGTTTCTGGACCAATTCGTGTGTAATTCCAAAAAGATACGTGCCAGTATATTTTTTATAAAATCCTACCTCCTTCCAAACATCATCTGGCGTTGGTCCTGTGATATGATTTATACATTCTGATTCTAAATAAATCTTTAAACTACATTGGTTTTCTTCAATTCTTAAAAAAAATAGATGTTGTGCGTTATGATAACGCGTAGTAAACGAAGAAACGAAACCAGTACCAACACTATGAAATTTATCTTCGTCTATATCACCAATACTGGTTATTACTATATTATGTCTTTCAAAAAGTTGAAGAAATATTGGAAAAGTTTCTACATCAGCAATCAGCTCTTGAATAATATCCTCATTTTCGAAACCTATAGCAGCCAAACCAGAGTATTCTGTTTTATTTTCAAAAACTTGTTGATAACATGTGTTAATCGCTGCTGATGGATAAGGCTCAACGTTGGATTTAACTGTGCCACAGGTACATTGAAATCCAGACTTTAATGGATTTTGGGCAGTTGACAAAACTGTAATGACAAAGCTTTTATTGTTAAGTTCGCATTCAATGCATATGTATAAACGATAAGGTATTACGAATTGTTTTGATTCAGCATCTAATTCTAAATTAACTGTTTCCCACCAGACTTTAGACCAAATTCCATAATGCAAATTAGGGTCTATAATACCCTTGCTTAAGATTTTTGTATTGAACTGTCGACTTGACATTTTTTTGCAGATTAAATGTCCGAGAGAATATCTTTATCAAAATCGTATTTAATGAGAAGAAACTTTTAATACTTT